GTTTTGTTTAAGAAAGGACTTGTATCGCTAAAGTTTCTGCGGAAATAATTTTTACGGAAAATTAATTAACAACCAGAGACGTAACACAGTGTCTGAAGTGGGGGAAAATAAAGAAAGCATAATAGTTTGTGAACTTTTTGAAGCTGAGTACTATATTTCTTGTTTTTCAAGTGTATTCTTTATTTATTATTATAAATGTGACTGAAATGTAAAAATTGGAAACTTATTAAGTTAGATTAGGTATGATAATGAGAAAAAAATCATAAAAATTCTTTACTAAGTATACTCATGAGCAGCTTGTGCATTACATATTTTACTACAGTAATGTGAACTGCACATTTGCTGAGTGATTTACAAATTGCATATTGGGATTATTAGTCAGACATGATTCAAGTGGGTAATAGAACAATAAAATTAAGTATAAACAAATGCATGCTGTTACAAATTATATTATGGAAACTCTGATGGTTACTTTATGGTCGTGAATTTGGTCACACCATCCAAGTCCATAGCAAGAGGGTTTATTTGCTACATCCAGGTCCTTCTTTGCCTCATTCGCGCCTTGCTCTTACACAACAATTTAAGAAGAAATATATAGTTTTATCTCCCCAGTCCCTTGCCACCATAAAAATTTATTGCATCCGCTATTGAACCTTTCCCTTCTGAGAAGCTTACAGTCTAGTCAAATGTACTGGGATGTTTTTGTGCTCTTTTCAAAAGAAGTGGGATGACATCCTGCCTCATCTTGCCCTTTTTCCAGCACTGAAAAAAACAATGGTGAATCATTCAAAGATGGGGTAGGTTCAGCTGAAGTAACAAAAGCAGTGGGTTAGGAATCCTGGATCTGAGATCAGAATGGATCAACTATGTGGTGCACGATAGCAGTAATATCTCTGACTGTCAATGTCACCAGTTCCCATGAACTGATATAATGTTGTGGTAGTCTGTTTTTGGAAAATACATAAAAAACATTTGTTTTTTTGTTATAAGTCAGAAAACAATTATCCAAGTATGGCAATGATGCATAGGTTTAATGGTGACCTTGAAAAATAGTGGAAAACCCATATGTTGGATCAGATAAAGAAAGCACTGAAAAAAATTCATATCTTTTAGTCTTAAGGTCAATTAATCAATATAGTCACCCTTATTATACAATATGCTGGAAAAAAAGAAAAAAACACATTTATGTAGCACAAAATTTGTATATCTAGCTTAAAATCTAAGTAATTTCTAAAATGAAAAATAATAAATATTCTTTACCCCTATAACCACATCTGCCTAGATCTGGCATACAGTATTAAAATATAACTGGCTTGCTGTGCTACATTATATAGAAGTTACATGGTTAGAGTCATCCCATCAATTATTAAGAGTAAAAAAACAAAAACTGATCAAATAAACAGGAAGTCTAACGTGTGAATGACTGAATAATTAACCCAACAATCAGTATAAGCCACAGGTTTAAATTTGCAAGGCCTAATAGGAACCCTGTAGGTTCTTGGGCAAAAGGCAAGAAATAATTAGAAAGGAATGACAAAATGACTAACAAACTAAACATCCACAGATGGAAATGAGTTAGAAGATAAATGGATAGAAGGAATATAAGCACAAAATTTCAGCACAAGATGAAGAAACACTTGAAAAAGAGAAATGACATGGTTGGGAATGTAAACACGAATATTAGAGCTGTCAGGTTTAAGCTTTGGAAGCTCAAATTAAGAGTTGTTGCTTAACACATTTGTTCCCGGGTAAAATTATAAATTTATGAAATATTTTGTCTGATGCTATGATGTTTACTGTTCATTTAATTGGGCAATAAATTTTGTTGGTTAGAGGATACAGGTAATTTTTAGTTGTTTGGAGGGTGAATTTGAAGGAACAATTTGTATCTTACTTTTCTTATGTTCTTCTTTTTTATTTAAATGTAATTAAACAGAGCATCTTTAGCTTTTCATCTAGACAGTTAATTAAGCTGAGGTTTAATTAGTTATCTAAAAAAAAGGTGATCTTCATTTACCATTTCCGTCTGGATATGATATGACTTATATTAGGATTATATGTCAATTTTTTCATAAGTCTTGTAAACTAAATGTAATATTTATTAAAAAGTTTATACTTAAATCTGGAATTTTAGTTATATCTAAGTATGTTAAATTTCCTTAATATGGATGTTAGAATAAAAAAATCAGTAATAAGTTGGATGCTTAGATGTTAACTACTCATTTCCAGATGATTCAGAACACTATATCATGTTGTATTTATAATACTGTTACTTCACTTTACAGTTTTTATTATCTGAAAAAATTACAGGTAGTACAAATAATTCATGAAAGTGATATTACAAACTTCTGTACAATAATAACAGCTTTTATTTACTGTTAAAACATTAAGGTTAATGATAATTATTATACTATTACATATATTTTTAGATTAATATTTCTTTCATTAGTGAAACTATTTGTATTCTACTCAAATGAGTTTACAAAACATACTGTGTGATTAATAATATAAAAACCACACATACAGATTTTGACACACTAACTACCGCAAACATGAGAAATAATTTTGAAATACAGGTCTGTTAATTTGATTATTTTGTACAGCTGTCTGAAGGATTAAGTCCCGAAGATAAAGGTGCTCTCAATCTAGGAATTAGACTAAGCAAAACATAATAAAATTTCTTAAGCATCTAGTATACTATAACCATTAGTTAATTTTTTCATGACTCAAATTATTTAATATTATAATAAACAAGTTCTGATTTCTAACATACACACAACAAGAGACCATTCAATCCTTCAAGACTGTTCTTGCACATTCACTCTTGTGAAAAGTAAAACATTTAAACTCTTTATTTTTCAGAAAATCATCAATTCTCCTTCTAAACTCTTGAAAATGGCTAGCCTCCATTATTCCAGACAGCAACTAATTCTGTAATTCAACCATGCTATTACAAAATAAATCTCCTAACCAGAGCCTGGCCTGTATTTTCCCAATCTTAAATTTGTTTTCTATCTCTCATCTTAGTATATTCACAATACAATACAAAGAAGTCAGAAGCTTTCATCCTATCAGTCCCCTGGATCATCTTCTAAACTTCAAATTTCAACTAGGATAACCTTCAATGAGAAGATAACTTAAAAGATTTAAACCTATTCGTATAAAATAACCTTAACAATACCATTCCTGGGAACATCCCGATAACCCTCCTCTGAACCTTTTATAAGAATAAGAACAGAAACATTTATAGTGATCATTGTTATTGTTAAAAAGGCATGAGATTGTCTTTGTTGTGATATTATTTTTAATAGTATAATAGTTAACACACACTTAAAAACCTTGATGAAAGATTAATGCTGGGAATTTTTATTAATTAACTCCTAAAAACTAAGTAACATTGTATTTCATTATCTAATCAATTATATATTTTTTATCTTTCAGATTTTAAGCTACAACTTGAATTCCAATTTTGTTATGTTCCATTTCAATATATATCACATGCCTATGACAATGATGTTACATTTACTCTCAATCTCATTTTAAACAGACTGAACACTTTGTTCTGTTGGTTTCAAATATTTGACAGATAAGCATCGGAAGAAAACGCGATAAGGCAAGCTCCATTCTTCCAGTTCCACCATTTTGTATCAATGAGAGGGTGTACCCTTTCTCTCCATTCACAAACTATACTGTGAAGAGCGCCAAACCTAGCATCTATGTATTAACTACCAGTATTATCTACGACGACTGCTATTCGGGTTATCTGGTCACTGGCTTAAGGGTATCGAAATAAATATCACAACACAAGACAAAAAATACCTGTTCTTCAAATCTTGTGATGAGGGCAGAAACCCATTCCACTGGCTTTTGAGTGGCCATTGTGGAGAAATTTTCAAAGCACATTAAATGAGACAAACAATTGATTACTTCTCCTATAGGCTAACCGCCACCATCTTGAGAAAAATAAAAAATGATTAAATGAATGAAATTATTGCGCATGCTCACAATTTTTTCGTGACATCGGGATTACAAGATTCAATATGGCGATTTTCTTTAAGGGAGAAGAGTTTGACCTTCTACTGTAGTATATGCGCCTTGAGTTACCCATTCACATTTTCGTAACTCCTATGTCCCAAGAAGATCCAGAAAAGTCATTAGGTCTGTTAAAGTTGAGCGAGATGGTTAGAGGAACTGCATTAGATTATAATTATCGTCCAGAACTGCTTTCGGGTAGCCACAGCGGAGAGCCAGATTTTATTCCACCTGTAGATGTAAGATATCCCGCTAACTGTCAACATAATTCGCGTACACATCCCGAGCGAAACTCGAGTTTAGGCATACCTACAATTTCAACAACTGAAGAAAGACATTCAAAACGAGCGTATATTTCAGTTGGAATCCTATGTTTTATCAATCTCATTAATTATATGGATAGATTCACAGTTGCAGGTAAGGGATTTTTATTATTATGAATTGAAATAGTTTAATGTTAAATTGGTTGTACTAGCTATCAGTTTAGCGACGAGTTACACTACCCACAAATAATGGCTGCATCAAGCATTTATTATAATTAACATATAATTGAATTGAAGCAAATTAAGATTAAGTTACAGTACCACAAATTGGCACATTACCAGTAAGGTAGCTACCTAGGGCACTCACCAGGAGAAAGGAGGGGCATAAATTAATATTTATATTAATAGTTTTTCAAGATGAACCAGTGAAACTTGCATGATAGACTTGTTAATGTTTCTTTTGTACAACTTCCATAAATTTTGTTTAAATGTCAAATGCTCTGAGGGGCCCCACTCTATCATGTCTAAAGCCCTTCAGTGGGTAAGGTTAGTTCTGGACACATTGACAGGAAAAACAAAAAAAAAATCAAATTTTCTGTGTCTAATAACCACATCTAAAAAAATAAAGACAACAGAACACCATATTCCTCAAGGCTGTCCTTGCACACCCACCCTGAAGAAAAGTAATAATTTCAACACACTTTTCATTTTCAGGAAATTATTGATTTTTATCTTAAACTGTCAATAATTACGTCCGTGAGCCAATCCCTTGCTATAAAAATAAACTGTCTTAGCTGGAACCTAGCTTGCATTTTCCAGATCTTAAACATGTGTCTTATTATCTTATAGAATACAGTGCTGAGAGATCAGAGGCCTTTATCCTTTTGGTATCCCAGATAATCTGTCATGTAAGCTTCAATAAAATAACCTCTTACATTTCTTTTCTCAAGATAAAATTTGTTAAGAAATGTTAACCTATCCTTGTGATATAACCCTTCCATGCCTAGAATCATCCTGTGTTCATGTATTAAAAGTAAGCAAAATGATAAAATAGAGATTGGGTCCTTTAGAGATGCTGATGGCAAGGTTTTTGTTGAAGATTGTAAGATGGCTGAGCTTTTAAATGTTCTCTTCTATTTTTACAAGGGAAGGTACTATTATTCCTAGCACTGAGTGTTGTATGGGAAATATTGGAATATCCTTTGGTGGTAAGTAGAAATATTAAATTGAAGCACCAGGGCCGGGTAAAGTTTTTCATACGGGATTAAAGGAGGTTAAAGATCACATGTGCAAGCCTTTCTTTCTCTCATTTGTGGTAGATCAATATACAATGGACAGGTGCCTCTGGATTGGAGAATTTCTAATATTTCTCCTATTTTTACAGGGGTGATAGTGTTTGATCTGGAAATTACAGGCCATTTCATCATACTTTGTAGTGGGAAAATTTTAGTATGTGAAATAAAAGAAGCTTTACAACATTGGTGAAATATGGTATCTTAAATTAAAAATAACATGGATTTACCAAAGGAAAATCTTTTCTTTTTCATCTGCTAGTTATTTTTCAAAGATGTTATTTGTTATCTGGTTGATGGAATTGAGTGTATTTTTATTTCATACAATCACACTACAATCCAATTAACTTTTTCAGCACGGGCTAAGTCCCTGAGACTGACCTCATAACCATTTCGTGCTTGTCATAGTTTTCATTCTATAACTTTTTAATTAGTAAGCAAATGTTAATGAAATATGGCACATTATCAGTAAACATTGCAAAACTTTCATATGCATAATATACATTTTTTGTTATTAAGTCTTAAGATTTGTAAAACAATGTTTTTCTCATTCCTTTTTTTTTATTTTTGCGTGTTGCCTATTTAACAAGCAAAGTAATTTTCGTTTTAAAATTAAAAATACTTTTATGCATCAGAAAATTTTCAAATTTCACATGCAAAATCTTTGTAATGTCCAGATAGCTATCAAATGTTTCTTAAGAAAAAACTTTATATTTTATCTGTTATTTTCAGTAATTAATCTCTTTATGGGTTTGGTAGATTTGACCAGTCTCGTAACCACAATAAATTATTAGGAAATAAATATAGATTATGCCTCTTTCATTCTAGAATGAACAAAAATTATAACATGAAAACATAAATTTTTAGACTAAATAGCTTAAATCTCATAACGTTATACATTTATATATATTTATTATGTTTATTACATTGACCTTTCAGCGATGCCTGGCTAACAATACGGAAGTTACAGGGACACAGCTCATGTGCACTCATGTTACCATATCCAATAACATAAAACTGACCTTTGGTCTGTACAAAGTAATTTGTCTTGGCTGTGTTTTAGTAGACTGGTATTTTGCAAAATACATTCACATGTCAATTATTACACATTATATATGTATATAGATTATTGCTATTTTGAAATAAGTTCTTAAACATATTTTTCTTAAAACATAGAACAGTAAATAAAGAAGTAAAGCAAACAATTATCTCTTCTAGTTATGACCTTTGTACTTGGCTGCTGTTTGATGTAGGTTGCTAAGCCTTTTAAAATTTTGCATGTGGAGGATATGAAACAAAATACTTTTTTTATGTTTTATATATACATTTGAATAACAAAAAATTCATAAATTAATACATCAGTACCACAGAATTCCAGTATAATTTATCAAGCTTGGTAACTAAGATGTATTTTAGTCTAAAAAATATGAAATTTTGAGCAGACTAAAGACACTCTACCTCCTTGAAATCTTGGTTCAAAAGAAAGAGATGACATCCAAACATGTTATAATGGCTGAGAAAGCTATTAGGAGGATATTCTGAGCTTTTGATTGGTTATTCATGTCATATATAGAAGTAAGTGTATATCAGGGAGCGTTTCCAACAATGGAAAGAGGTGGGTGTGGTGCCACTGTGTCTGATTTATTACATGAGGAATATCTTAGAAAATTGAAAAGATAAGAGGCTCTTATTTTATATTCTAGCTTGTCAATATATGTAATTTGAGTTTCTAATTTGTGCGAAACTAAAGACTTAGTATTTTGACTTCACAAATATCTAATTTGAACCAGTGCTGCATTCTACATGCCACATGACACACAAAAATCGATGTTTAGCTGTGTTTTTTTAATATTTACTTTTAAATAAAGAAATTGAGTAATGTATAGTACTAAAATTTGAATTATAATCTACAGTTTGATACCAAATTTATTGACATAAATTCATAAAATAGTAATTCAGTAAAATTTTTAATGCGAGTCAAGAAACGTGATGACATGACATTTTACCCTTGACTCATCTGGAATGGGTTAACTAGTTTTTCTGATATGGTACATTACCTCTTAGTTCTGCCCCTTATATGCACAAATGTTTTGGCATTCCACAAGCTTTGAACTCCCACGTACTTCACGATCAACTTGGTTCAACTGTGTCTCACATGTAAATCATCATGCGACAACTTTCCACTAGTAGGAGTGTGACATACCCTCCTGATGCATGTAGCTCTCTGTCTATTCGATTCTACCAAACTATCACTTTTAGTTAAGCAGTGATTGAGTGAAAACATTTTTCAGTTGCTCTCTTTTCACGTATTCATTTAATTTTTTCTTTTTACAAAGTAGTGATTTACTTGATTTATTCATTTACTACTCTAAGTTTTCTGTAGTAGTTTGCTGCAATAACTTACCTTTGTTTATTGATTTTTTTTTTTCTCAATTTAGACTTCACAGTTTAAGATGAATTCTGAAGTTTGTGTTTTACAGCTTCTGATATTTTTACCACTACTTTGAGTGCTTCAGGTCTGGGGGTCTTGACTGAGGATTTTTTGGCAATTTTTGTCTGGAGGTTGATTGTTATATGAGTTGTCGTCCTTCTCCCAAAAATGTATGGGTTCTTCCTGCATCGTTCAACCCTGTTCATGCCAAGGAGGAATTTGACAGACTTTTTCCTTCTCATAATTATGTCGTGCCCTCCCATGCCTCTCCTATGGAATCCACTAGGTCTAACTCTGCTTTTTTGGATATGCTTTCTCAGGTGTGTTCCATTTTCTCGTTTTCACCAATTTCATATGATACTGCCCCTTCCTTGTTACATAACCCATGTCTACTTTGTTTTCCCTCTTTTCCTTGACATCAGGGTTCATGCTGATCATTTCATTTCTCAGTTGAGGGCTGGTGTTAGTGTGCCTTGTCCTCCATGGTCTTATGATCATTATGCTTTGGCTTATCAAATCTTTCTTGGCTCCCAGCAGTTGGAGTCACTTTTGACAGTGTGGGAGCCATCCCTGAAAATCCTATCCGTTTTTCCCATACCCAGATTTCCACTTTTGTCTTACCTTTACTGCTCTTCTATAGTACTTGTCCAACATACATTTCCTTTCTGAGGCATTCCACTGATCTCCTGAGGGGTTTTAGTGGGAGATCTATTCTCTCCTTACCTCCATGTTTGTGTGATTGTACTCTTCCACCCTTTCCTTTCATACATGGTTTCATTGCTGTTGGGAACTTAATGGGAAGAATGCTGTCTCGTCACAAGTTCATCTACCTTCCACTTATCTTTGTGACTTACTGGTGGCTCTTTTTTTCTGAATTTGAAATCACATGTGGAATCTGTGAGACCACATTCGACCCTTTAGTCTTTGGTTACTGGTTTGTTTCATTCTGGTCCCATGACCTCTTCCATGGTAGTTTCTTGTCCTGCAACCTTCCATCCTTTACCAGTTCCTACCATTAGGGGGTTCAAAATTTCACTGTGTGCTTCAAGGCTTATTGTTGCCAGCAGTTCCAGTGATTATCAGGTCTTTTCCTGATCACTGGGAGCACATTTGGCCAATTTTGTTCCCATATGGCAGGTATTCACTACCAATTCATGGGTGATCCCAGTTTTGTCAGAATGACTTTTCATCCATTTCCTTTCCCCATTACCATTGTCTCCTGTACTGATTTCCTTTCCATTAACTTGGGATCCTACTCTGTGTGTCTCTCTGAGACTGTGCAGACCCTCCTATCAAGCCTGTCAGCCAGCTTTCTCCAGGTTTTTACTTCATGATTTTTGTTGTCTCCAAAAGAAATCAAGGGACTGGCATCTTAGCCAAGACTGGACCAGCCAGTACCTTTTGTGTTCTTTCCAGTATTGTAGACCTCCTTGTCATGCAGTTCTTCCAGACTGTAATGTCAGTATTGTTCTTCACTGCTATCCACTCCCTCTGTTTGAACTTTGTCCTCTTGTCCTACCTTCAGACTTATTCCTACTCTTTTTAGTCAGTCTGATGTATTTTCCATCAACATTTCACATACTTTTTCCATTCCACGTATGTTATACTTTATCCAGAACAATTTTTCCTTCTCAAAACTTTGGCGGCTTGTGAGGGACATTTTTCCTTTTTGCTGATTTCACTTCTATCCATTTCTCACCTTTATTCCCACCTGATCTGGATAGAATTCTATGTTTAGTACGCGCTCCTCATTGTCACATTGCCTGCATGGCCCCTTTAGTGGTTCCCATTCTGACCTTTTCATTCCCTGTCACCATTCATCTTATGTGATTTTTCTCCTTCTACCCTTCCAAGTTGGGCTCATCGATTGATTTGATTGGTTTATTCCTCCCTGTCTCTTTTTTCCCAAATTCTGTTCCAGGTGTCATAAGATCAGGCACCATATTTTTTTCCTGGCATTTCACTTACATCATACATTGGAGGAAATTTCTCAGTCAGGCACATGGACTATGCCTCTTAAGTTTGTTTCCTCCAACCTTCATTGGGTAGCTGTTTCTTCCTTGTTGGGGTTCTGTCTTCAGCCTGTTCCCATCCTTCAAAGTTCAGTATGGCTGTGAATTTTATATTTTTCCTTCTTACTATCATTACTTAGTAAGACCCACACTTCTGTTGTTGTTGTTTTATAATTAAAACATACTAACTGGTATATAAATATTTTATTCTGATATTTTGCAAAGGGCTTTAAAAAATTAAGTTAAAGTTACAAATCAAGATAACATACATACAAAAGGAGCATCAATGTATAGATAAACAATATCAAACTGTTGTAAGTTATGCACTGAGAATTATATGTACAGTTGTATGCAAATCACGCTTAGATGCAAAAATGAATATTTAGTAAAAGCTACTCTGAGGTATTATAATCACATCAGTTTATATATTAAGAACATACAAACTATACATTTGTTCACTACTCACGAATATGTACACTGAAGACTTTATACATGTTTATACAAATACAAAAATAAGCTAAACACTGTTACCAAACAATTATCTGAAGATGAATAATCCAAGTTGTATATTATTCAGTGAAATATTGAAAATTGTATACATAATTCTTGAGCAGAAACTAGAACACAAAATATGATAAAAGTAATAAAACTGAGCACAGTAATGTATAATAAATA